ATACATAAGTAAATAAGTAAATACATTGATTAAACTAAATTAAACGTAAAAGATTAAGGGGAATGCGAAGGAAATCTAAGGGTAAAAGGAATTGACAGAAGAGGTGTGTGGGTTTTGGTGATGTATAGATGTCTAGAAATAGATTTACACTTTTATTGATTAAACATAATTTCCCTAGGTGAAAAACTTAGGGGGAGTGTGAGGGGGACCTTGGGGGATGAGAGATGTATAGAGGGGGGTGGAGAATCTGAGGGGTGCAGGGTTTTGAGGAGGGTTCATTTTAATTAAATAGCTTTGCAAGTGGCGTTGAATTTCAAAGAGGTAAGAAACTTTGAACAGTTAAATGATTTCCGATTTCTGCCTGACAAGCTATCGTTAATTTGTTAAAATTGAAGAGGAGATTAATATCATTACAAATCAATATTATAATATTTCAAAACTCGTCCAGACGCCAGTCTGTTCCTACAGCTTAAGAATTAGGAGAGATTTAAATTTCTTCAGCTGTTCTTAGAACGATTCAAACTGTTCATGCCGAGAGATTTTCCTTGAAAAAATTCAAAATAGCATTATTTGTGACCTCTCTGAAAGAGATGCTGAGTTGATAAACTAAAATACCCAAAAAATCATAAGCTGCGTTAAGGTGGGAAAAGACAAGATAGGTTGTCTATTGCAGAATAAGTAAAATTGAAATGAGTCCTGGCCACATATTCCTGAAATGATATTGGCAGTTGGATGTCCTAGAATCAATTCTAGAAGATAAGAACCTAGCGCTAAGATCCTTCCAGATTACGTGGCCAGACCCATACCTCTTGTATTTACTTTTCTATTTTCTACTGTATCGATAATCCAGCGCCGGCCACCATATTCTATACTCAGTTCATTAATCTTAATCTTAACACAGTCAAGTAGTTTTTCTAGAAAATATAAAACAAGAAACAGTCTATATGAATTTTTTAAATTTTTTTTGATAATTTGGAGAAAGTCTGAATTCTAAAAAAATGTGCCAGTAACAGACCTGTTTTTATCCAAGGAAAGAAAAAATGATACCAGATGACAAAACAGATGGCTGTAGTCTATTTCAGACTGAATAAACATTGTTACAATTTATAGACATTAATCTCTATCTTATAAACAATATTCATATTAATGTCTGGTACAGTAGGGTTACTTGGACATAGTAGAGGCTAGGTTGGAGGGGTAGAGCTGGGCTGGAGGGGTAGGGTTACTTGGTCAGGGTAGAGCTAGACTGGAGGGGTAGGGTTACTTGGTCAGGATAGAGCTAGGGTAGAGCAAGGCTTGAGGGGTATGTTTACTTGGTCAGGATACAGCTAGGATAGAGCTAGGCAGGAAGGGTAGGGTTACTTGGTCAAGATATAGCTAGGCGGCTGGAAGGGTAGGGTTACTTGGACAGGGTAGATCTAGACTGGAGGGGTAAGGTTACTTGGTCAGGATAGATCTAGGCTTGAGGGGTAGGGTTACTTGGATAGGGTAGAGCTAGGCAGGAAGGGTAGGGTTACTTGGTCAGGGTAGAGCTAGGCTAGAGGGGTAGGGTTACTTGGTCAGGGTAGAGCCAGGCTGGAAGGGTAGGGTTACTTGGTGAGGGTAGAGCTAGGCTGGAGGGGTAGGG